TGTGTGTGTGTGTGTGTGTGTGTGTGTGTGTGTTCTGTGATGAGGAAACTCAGCATGGAGACACAGCCCAGAGGAGGGGCTGATCCCAAAAGGTGGTTCTAGTCCCATCCGGTCGTTTTTGTTATTTTTGCTCCCCTGCCTGCTGCCTCAGGACCCAACAGGATTTCTCAAATATGCATGAAGGAGTCAAAGCAAGACAGGTTGATTTAATGTCTTTCGGGTGTTAAAATAACTCTAAATTGCAATTGCTATTTTCCTTGACCAAGATTAGCAATTTTATCGCATTGTTCAATAAATATATTGATTAAACAATTCATGAGCTCAGTGATTATGAGAGAATGTAAAATAATAAAAAGCCATCATAGCCAACATTAAGTTGAGTAGAAATTCATACTTGATTTGATAAAAATAGAATGCATGAATTCATAAAACAAGACAAATGATTACAATAAATGTGGGTTTCTCCGTCACCTGGTTAACAACAGTCCACTTGTTCTCAATCTATGTCTGACATCTGATCTGTTGAAATGTTTTTGATTTCGACATCCTTCCTGCACATCAYGTTCACACCGACAGAGAAGCAGTGTGGGTTTCTTACTTTAATTAAAATCCCTCCAACGATCTACTCACGCTGTCCTTTTTGTTTATTGTCTGCATTGAATAAAAGGCAATTAACCCCAGTTTGTCAAGTGATTTTAAATTTCCCGTGTCATTTTATTGAACAGCATTAACAGCACTTTGATTTAAAATGAATACTCTTATCCTATATTTGAAACATGTAGATAAAAAATTAAGAAGAGGTACATTTTTTTCCTCAATGGGACATTTAAGTTGATTTCCCTTGTTTAAATGTACTGATATCATGTAAAAAAGTATTTCTTTCACTGTATACTGCACCTTTTATAGTTTTACTATCTTCTCCAGGCACAATGAAATCTTAAGATATGGAAAAAAAAGTAATTTTGTCAGGATGAGAAATCACTTTTTTAACACTAAACCAAATTATTTTAATAATATATTACCTACAAATTTAATAAGGTAAGATCATGTCTTTAATACTTTTTATTCCCTCAGTTTAACGGTGTAAAAGAAAAAAGATCCTCATTTAAGTGTCTGAAATGTACTATCATTCCCGTCTGCACTACCTGGAGTTAACTGGCATGCGACAGGGTACGGAGTCCCGGATGCACGAGCCGGTCCCTGTCTCAGCAGGCTCCACGATAACAAAAGGCCTTTCCTCCAGGGTGACCACTCTGAGGTGCTGCGAGTCGTCCAGGGGCTTAAGGAAAAAACTGTAACGAGACCAGGGATGGTAACGGAGGCGTAGATGACCATTTTCCCAGTAACCGACCTGGAAAACAGACAAAAARGATGTTTTAAGCAAAGGTGGCTCAAAAAATGAATAAAAAAATGTTGATTTTAAAATGCTGAGGGGAAAATAATAAATAAATAAATAAATAAATAAATAAATAAATAAATAAATAAATAAATAAATGCAAGATTTGCTAAAAACAAAAAACAATAATTCTGTCTTTTTTTTTACATTTCTTATTAATACCGCTGAGTAACTGATCTAATTTTTTTAATACTGACACTGGATTTTCCAAGAATCATTATTAATGTCTTTTTTTCATGAAYACTTGTTGAAATATTCAGTATCTCCAAGATGACATTAGATTCTTTTTGATTCATTAATTTACATTTCCCCCCTGCTTTAATCTACTTTGGAAACTAAAGTAAATTAAGCGTTAAAAMACAGCTTTTTAGTTTAAAGTCTGTTTCATGGTGACACCTAAATTAATAACTATACAATTGTATCACATGGTTCTACTGTGTTTGTAAAAACAATGTCACTATTCAAGTTACAATTTGAAAGACAAAAGGAAACGTGCTTTAAATCAGAAATATTTTCTCTAAAACATTTACAACATTAATAGTTTACTAAAATAGTTGTATATTTTCTCAACATATTGAATAATTCGTGCTCATCTCTCCCCTCATTATAAACCTGTTTTCAAACTGTTTTTGTCTCTGATGCACWCTAATAACAAAATCCAGCACTCTGCCTCCATTTATCCATTTTCTTTACCYGCTTTTACCTTTCCAGGTCCTGGTGGAGCTGGTCACTGAGGGGCAGAGCACACCCTGGACACATCTCCAGTCCATCGCAGGGACACAAAAACATTCGCACTCTCACTCACACCTGGAATATATTTTTTCTTCATTTTTACAGTTATCAATTAACCTGACATGAGTGGTTTTGAGGAAGAAAACAGAAGAATTCAGAGAAAGCCCATGAATAAATGGAGAGGCAACAAAAACAGCCAAGCAGCATACCTGTGATCTTCTTTCTTTTAGAGAAACATAATCATTGTATTTCTTAAGTTCAAACGCCTGTTGTCATTTATTTTGTGTTACGTATATAAATACATTTTTAAGAGTCAGTATGCTTGTATTCTGTACAGCTAAATCGTTCTGCCTTTGTGTAGCTTTTTTTTAGTAGCCATAATGTCCTTCTTTTCTTGAAGTTACCCACCTGATTAAATCAATGTTTATCACTAAAATAAAACTGTTTTCAAGAAGAATGTTGCAGCACTTAACTCAAGTTTAGTGGAAGACAGATTGGATGGCACAACAAGAAGTTGTTCCAAATAAAAATACAGCTGCTACTCTTTTTTTTTTTCATAGTCGTTAGGCATGCATTCATCTATGTGACTCTTGCCAGCACTGAATTTATCGCTTTGGATTGTTTTTCTGTCCCACTTTTACTCTGATAGTGTACTGTATATGCTTACGAAACAGCAATAAATTCTGGCCACCACGGAACATTAGAAATATCATTCCAAACAATATATATATTTTGAGCTGTTATAACACTGCAGAATTTCTGAAAAAAAAWWWTWAWYMWTTTTTTWWTTWWYMAWTWAAA